AGAAGTTTTTTATATACATAGGACATGAGTCCTTTGTTTGAAGGTGTGCTGCAGGTTGGGATTAATGTATTTTTCCTCATGGGCCGCCCTTTCAGGAAGTATTTGCTTGTTCCATAGCCTTGAATCTAGTCTCTAATTTTATCTTCAAGTTTTATTTTACCTTCTGTCCATGAGGCCTGCAGTCTAGCTAGGACTGATTTTTGTGCACAGTGTGAGACCAAGTTTCCGCTTGTTTTTTAGTGCTGAGGATCAGACTGCTGAGCCACAGCCCACAGCCCAAGTTGCAAGTCAGGCCCTTGCGCTTGCCAGACAAGTGCTTATTCCACTGAGCCATCTCCCCGGCCCCAAGATTTTTTTTTTTTTTTTTTTTGTTTTTGGGGATTGAAATCAGGACCTTGCCTTGCCAGGGAAGCGCTTTTTGCAGTTCTCCATCTTTATGTTATTTGGAAATTTCTCCTAAAGCTAAAGGAGGAAACTGATTCTTTTTAATGGCACAAACTGAAATTCTACTTAAAATGTTAATGTATTTAACTCACAAGATATGATTTATAAAATGGGACTCTTCAAAGGGAATCCCCTACCTCATTTCAAATAGAAACTAGATTGTCTAGAATTGCTATTTTAGCGGGCTAAGGCCATACTAAAATACAGTTCTTTTAACTTGTCTTCTTGATATTTTATTATTTGTAAATTGTCTTAGCTCTTTCCTCTGCTTCTGTCCTCTATAACCTTTTCTTCTGTTTTCATATTCTGTTGGAGAAATTAGTTTGCATGTATTATCTCTATTTCCTTACTACTTATTAGTATAATATAGTACAAGAAGGTGTGTAAATCATTCATGTATTATTCCAAAGAATTTCACAAGGCAAACACATCTGTGGGCGTATCCCTAATATTAAAAAAAGAAAAGAACATTACCAGGACTGCAGAATTCCTACTCTTACCTGCTATCACCCTTCTCTATTTCTGTCAAAAGTAACTTTTTCCTGACTTGTCTCTATCACTTAGTTTTGCCTTCTCTTACACTGTGCATAAATGAAATCATACATTATGTTCTTTCAGGTTTTGGTTCTTTTGTTCAAGCTCATGTTTACAAGCTTCATCCCAGCAGTTGCAAATGGTACCAGTTCATTCTCATTACAGTGTAATAATTCAGTGTTTGACTATAACATACTTTCATTTATGCATTCTATTGCTGGTCGTTTGACTTGTTTATTGTTTGAGCTTTTATGACTACTAGGAACATTCTTGTGTGTGTATCTTTGTACATCTTGCCGTACATGTTGTTGGGTGTATCTTAGGAGTGGAGTTGCTGAATTTTATGTTGTGCTGTGTTTTGAGACAGGGTCTTGCTTTGTAGGGTAAGCACTCCTTGAACTCTGTGTACCCCAGGCTGGTCTTGAGCTTGTGATGATCCTGCCTCAGCTTCCAAGTACTGGGACTACACATGTGTGCCACCATGAGTGGCTGAATGGCTGGATTTTAGTGAGTGCGTATGTCCAACTTTAGTAGCTATTATAAGGCAGTTTACCAAAAATGGTTTTACCATTTTACTTTCTCAATTAATGATCATAGCACCAGCTATATATGCCACATACAATCTTCATTTGTGAAGGGCAAAGTTAAGATTTTAAATAAAAGCCTACCCAGGATGCCTGCCAAGACCAATCAGATAGCAGAATGTTTCTTCCTTTGTATAACCCCTGCTTTTGCTGCCTTTATATAACTGATGGCCTTGCAATGTAACTTAAAATGTAACAGTACATTTCTTCCTTTGTATATAAACCATGCTTTGTATGACTGATAGCCTTACAATGTAAATTGAGGTGTTCAAACTCCTTCAGAAACCCATGATGCGTCACCCAACCCTCCAATCATTTCCCTACTCACTTTTCCTTTGAAAGTCTTGAAACCTTGCTGGATGGGGCTCTGATTCTTTGGAAGAGATCCTAGTCAGAAGCCCACCCCGTGTAATAAATTGTTCCTGAAACCTCTTGGGTGCCGTTTCTTCCTGTGTTTGGTCTGTTTTCTGTGATACGTGTATGATTCATTTCATTCAGGTATCAATATCTATAGTTATTCTTTTTTTTTTTTTTGGTGGAACCGGGGATTGAACTCAGATCCTTGCATTTGCCAGTCAAGCGCTTATTCCACTGAGCCATCTCCCTGGCCCCAAAAATCAGTTTACTTATTCTTTTTTTTTTCAATATCTATATTATTTATTGAATACTGAATTTTCTTAGTTTGACAAAATTTATTGGTTATTTTAGTAATGGCATTCATGTGAGTCATTTCTCTATCCTCATCTTGACCTTATATTAGTATTTCATTTGGATCAAGAAAAGAATATGTAGAAGAGGGCTGTTATTTTAACAAACAGTGAGATGGACAAAAATGAGTTAAGTTTGCCTATATAAAAGTAAATTAAAGTTAAATTTATATATCTTGATAAATTAAATCATATAAGAAATAGTATTTCTATATACATTTGCATTGTTTTACTTGGGTCCCAATCTAAACTTTAATGTAAAAGAACAATTTATCAGGCATGTGCATAGATTTCTTTTCTGGAGTTACTACCTATTAAAAAAGATCAGTAAGTAACTACCACCAATGAAACAGTGTGAAGCTGCCTCCAGATTTAACATTGTAGTAGTTCTGAAGGAAATTGTATCATTTTTCTTTTGCCTGTGACTATGTTTTTAAAGATATGTTTAACTGTCACATTAGAAAGTCCATATACAATACAAAAATACAAAACAAACACCTTATAATACACAGATTTAAGAGTATATGTGATGAGAAATTCAACAAGATGTGTTTGCAGATGCATTTTCTTTCATTTTCAGTACCTACAGTATGCTTCACTGGTCAGTGTGTGTACACTTAAAATAAGCCACATTAACTGTTCTAATAAATTCTGTGATGAATTCAATTCAAATTGGATTTAACAATTTAGTGACATAAATACATGGACAAAGTTACAGAAAATGCATCTTACTGTTTTTTATCTTTGTACAGTGTTAATTTTGTGTGTGTGTGGTGTTTATACCTTTTAAAAAAATAAAAACCAGCCAAATACTTCAGCAGTATGTACATTTAAATTTTAGGTGGTGGTCTGTATTTTAAAAGAAATAAGGGCTGGGGAGATGGCTCAGTGGAATAAGCGCTTCCCTGGCAAATACAAGAGCCTGAGTTCAATCCCCAGTTCCGCAAAAAAAAAAAAAAAAAAAAAAGAAATAGCTTCCTTATGATTTACCTCAAGTTCTGGTGGAAATGCTTATAGGAACTGGCTATAAACAAAAACCAAGAGAAGCACATTCAAAATACTTATGTACTTTGGTAGCACATGGCTGTTCTTTGAAGATTGATGAAGGTAGATAAGACTATTAAGGTGAAATGGACTATTTCAAATACTCGATACTTCACATAAAATTTTTTTAAAAATTACTTTCTGTAGAAAAGCTACATCTGTGTCCACTGACAGCAGTGCAGCACCTAACACAGGGCCACTTGAAACAAAACAAATCCCAGAGGGGAAGAATGCTGTTTAATTTCATCTAGGTTTACTTCCAGTCAATAGCCAAGCAATGCTTTCTCTCTGATACGACACCCTCCCCTTTTCTCTAAGGTTCTTCCTGGGAGTTAACTTAGGAGTAACTTGCAGTTTTGCAGACAGTAACTTTTTACAGACAGTAACTTTTTACCTCCCTCTTAATGTGCTAATAGTTGTGTCTAAAAAATATGTACTTCTTAAAAAGGTACCATTTCTGATTTCTTTTATTATCTGGAACTTTTAAAAACAGATCACATGAAAACCACAAAATTAGCAAATGTCTTGAAATCTTGTATATAAAATGTAAATTACCTCTAATTTCAAACTCACTTATTAGTGTACCACTCAATCTTAAAAAAAAAAAAATGAGAAAGCAAAAGCAAAAGCGGCTCCAGAGATAGTCTTATGCTATTCTTTAAAAAAGGAAATTATTGGGCCAGGGACATAGCTCAGTAGAATAAGCGCTTGTCTGGCAAGCACAGGGTCCTGAGTTCAATCCCTGGTACTGAAGAAAAAAAAAAAAAAAAAAAGAGGAAACTGTTTCTTTACACTCACCCCACACCCTAATTCAAAACATATCATTTAATTGTCTTGGTCATGGACATTTCTAAGACAAGATTTTGTATTTCGTTCCCATAGCTTCTGGTTATCAGAAAACCCATGCTTTCCTTTATTGAGTTTGGTCCGGCTGAAGGTTGGTGTATCCCTTCTAATATTCTTCATCCTCATCTTTGCTTCTGGAGGCATTTCCTCTGGTTCACTGTCTTCCTCTTCATTAAAAGTTGCTGCTACTGAAAGGGTTTTGGGAGCAAGAGTTTCTTTAGGCTTACTCAATCCACTTTTAATGGATATAGCTGATGCTTTCTTTGTTGTCTGACTACCTGTGACAAATCCAAACTTGGAGATCTTTGTAGGCTTTGTTGGGAGGCCTGAAGCTTCTTCTTCAGCTGATCGCTTCTCAGCGCTGCGACTGGAACTTTCCCCTCCATTACTGGAAGAAACAGTCTTAGTTTTCACAGGTCTTTCTGCTGCTTCTTCAGGTCCTCTGGCGGCTCCAACCCACTTTGACTTCACAGACTTCACCTCTCCTGACTTTTGGTTTGCCATTTTCCCGGCTGTGCTTTGTTTTTTTAATAGTCAGATAATTTAATCCAAAATAACTCTGAAGGGGCCAGGGCCTGAGTTCAATCATAGGAAACAAAATTGAACATCGGAAAAATTGCTTCATGAAAGGTTACATAGATGTTAATTATCAGAGAGGTTCAGGCAGGACTGGAACTCAAAAGTATCTGACTGCAAAGCCTGTACCCTTAGCCATTATGCTCTTCTGGGCCACAATTAGTGATCTCAACAGCATATTTGGTCTCTACCTAAACTCACATTTCTCTAATTCTTTTCACTCCTTTATTGTTTGTTTGTTTGGCAGAACCGGGGATTGAACGTAGGCCCTTGCACTTGCCAGGCAAGCACTTACTCTACTGAGCCATCTCTGCGGCCCCCTAGTCTATTCTTAATCGTCCAATGCCTCTTCCTTTCCTAGAACTTGAAGCCCAGATTTCTTGGCATAAAGTGCTAGGGCTCCTAATTACTGGCCGTTTAGTGATTTTTTTCTTTTTCTTTTCATTTCAATTTTAATCTTTTCTCCTTACCTCAGAACTCAAGCTCTATTGTCCTACAGGTAGCAATTTAGACTTATCATCTTCTCTTGTACATTTTTGAGCCTTTCTTTTTACTTCTTTTTCTTTGTTGCTTATCTGTTTGTCTGTCTGTCTGTCTCTCTCTCTCTCTCTCTCTCTCTCCCTCTCTCCCTTCTCTCTCTCTCTCTCTCTTGAGACAAGGTCCCACTGTATAATTCAGAGTGGTCTTAAACTCACTATGTATCCCAGGCAGGCTTTAAACTTATGGTGATCTTCCCTTCTCAGCCTCCCAAATGGTGGGATTACAGATGTGCGACACCACGCCTGGCTGTCTTTCAAGATTCAGCTTTGATCCCCTGGATACACTATTGAGAAACATTTCCTAATTGCCTTCCAATCCATATTGGTACACATCTTCGTTGTTCTATAACACAGTATGCTCTATCATAGTAATGATCATATCCAGAACAAACTGATTGTTAGCTGTTCATCTCTGACTTAAAAAAATAGCTCATTGTGCCAGCCAAAAAGCTCAGTGGACTAAAATGCCAGCTTAGACAGGCACAAGGACCAGAGTTTGATCCCTGTGTGCTGCGCGCTCCCCCCCCCCCCGGTTTGCGCTGAGTCATTGAATGAGACTGGGCATGGTGGCACATGCCTGTAATCCTAGCACTTGGGAGACTGAAAACAGGATCACTATGAGTCCAATCTGTGTAGTGAGATCATGTAGTTCCTGTTCTTAAAAAAAGCTTATTGAGGACAAGTGCTATTTATTATTATTATTATTATTATTATTATTATTATTATTATTTGTGTGTGTGCTTGGTACACTGGGGATCAACTCCAGGGCCTCCTGTACACTAGAAAAGCACTTTATTACTGAGCTAACACCCCTACCCTGGTGCTATTTTTGATCCCTTTTTGTAACCACGGTGCCTAATACACTGATTTATTCATCAAATACTTGCTATTTTATAAATATTTTTATAAATCCTGACATTCAGTAATTTTAGCATAAAAGTATATCTGTTCTTGTACACATTAGTTTTTATTATTTGCAGGTTTCTTTTTTTTAAAATTTGGTATATAGTGTGTGGCTATTGAAGGAGTAATTTGTTCTATAAGATAGCTTAGACTTTGGAGTCCTCATATGAATAACACAAATCTGGGTTTGCCTTCTCAGTGCTAAATTGGTGGGAATTTTAGCCTGAGTTTTAAAATAGCTCATGGAGTCCCTAAAAGGAACTTAGAAGCTTCAGGTTATCTTGAGATATTCTTTTAAATAATGGAAAGTATGGTGTTCTGCCTCTGGTAGGCAATGTCCTGTCTAAGGTCATAAAAACCATGTGAACTTTGGTTAAGCATTCTGGATTTCAAAGTATAAGTCAAAGGTTCCCAAATGTTTCACTAAACTTATCAATTGACAATTAAAAAAAAATTTCTTTTGCCTTTGAACCTGTAATATTTAAAAGTTCTTTCACCTAAATGAGACACTAAGAAGAAAATACCCAAGTCTTTCCTTTCCTGATAGGGCATAACAAAGTGTATGCTTAATTTTATGCTGTAGAAGAATTTTATGTTAAGTGGTATTGATAAATACTTTTTCAGCTTCTGTGTTCATTGCAGGGGAATATAAAGGGAAACTCGTCCTCACGCTTATGCTTATTTTCTATTGTGGTGACTGTCGTTCTATAACAAAGTATAACAAAGTATAATAGTATATAATTAAATGTAAAATTATGGTGTTCAGAACCCTTTTTTTTGGTTGGTTGGATATGAGATGGTCACTCTATTCTCTACTCGTAGGTAGAAGGTGAAGACAGGGACACCTTTCTTCTCTGTTTTTTTGTTTGTTTGTTTGTTTTTGTTTTTGTTTTTGCAGTTCCAAGGATTGAACTCAGGCCCTTGTGCTTGCCAGGCAAGCACTTATTCTACTGAGCCATCTCCCTGGCCCAACATTTTTTTTTTTTTTTTTTTTTTTTTTTTGTGGGGGGAGGGTGGTACAGGAATCGAACTGAGGATATTGCTCTTGCCAGGCAAGCACTTATTCCACTGAGCTATCTCCCTGGGCCCCCTTCTTCTCTGTTTTGAATGCCACTGAAATTCAACTTCAAACCTTTTGGATGAAGGAACAGGGATGATTAAATAGAGGCAAAAGTGGGACCCTTGGGTTTTTGGTAATGTCATAATTTTTACATGATCACTTTGTTTACTGTTTATGTTGTGTGCTCTGTGTGTGTGCATTGTATGTATGTTAGGGATTAGGGTCTTGTACATGCTAAGGACTTTCTCTGCCAGTGAGCTATCCTCCTAATCAGTACACTTTTGTGTATGTATTGTACACTCAACAAAGATGTTAATGACACTTTTCAAGTGCTCCTCTTTAAAGCATGATCTCTCCTGTGTTGGGGAAATCCTAGTGGTATCTAGGCTTATGGGTAGAATGAAAAAATCATTAAGGGAGAGGTTAGAGGGAGGCAAGAGTAGTTAGGGAAAACAGAACATTTTTTCAGTAAACATTAACTGGGTGTGAACTATGTACCAGATGCTAAGCTAACATAGAAAACATGAATGAGATTAAAGGTTAGTTTTGAAGGGGAAAATAAGATTTGGGTGATGTTAAATTATCCTGATTGTAGATTCAGCACTTATTTTTTTTTACCAATAATGTCAACAGAAAATGCTTCTTTTACATTGGCTGTTCACTAAGAGAGCTAGTCTTTACACTGACTCTGAGCTAGGTCTAGCAACCTTTTTTTTTTTTGTATTTTTACGGAAAGATCTACAGGTGTTAAGGGTCTCACTACTAGATCGGACTCATAGTGATCAGCCTGTTTACAGCCTCTCAAGAGCTGAGATTACAGGCACGCACCACCATGCCCAGTCAGCGCGCCCCAGGGGTGGGGCCAGCATGGCAGGCCCAGGGTTCAAACCCCCAGCCCCTGCACCTGCTGGCAGGCTCTTTCAGTCTACTGAGCTATTTGGCTGACCCTTGAGCTATTTGGTTGGCTCTGGTCCAGCTATAAATATCACAATTTATACATTTATCCTAAAGTTAGTCAGCCAGGATGTAGTGGAGCTTCAATTCAAGCTCAAATTCCAGTTACCTGTTTTTCTGCTTAAAATCACTACGCTTTGTGGAATTAATGCAAAGACTATCAAGGGAAAAGCAGGTTGACTGGAGGCACTATTACAAGATGGCCAGTAATCCTGTTGTTTATGTGTTTTAGAGCTCTGTGTGAATGCCTTTTCTTCTTTTTACAGACCTGGCTGGATTCTGCCAAAGAAATAAAAAAGCAGGCTCGAGGTAAGTGGATATATCCTTTTTATAGGTCTTTCTTTCTTTTATTAGGTCAGAGGATTTCCAACCACTTCTGACTGTGAGTCAGTCACTTTAGAATCCTGCCTAATGCAGATTACTTTGAAAGTAGGATAAAGCCTTCGCCTGGAAAGAGGAGATTCCATAACAGCAAAATACAGCTGAGGTGAAACTGTAGAGATATAGGTCAGATCTTGACCACTTTAGACAACAACTAGGCAAAGTTGGGAAAGATAGGAATGATGAGAGTAATGCAAGGTAAAAAAGAACAAAGATATGGGAGTCAGTTTTCAGAACTGTAGTGATCAAAACTGTGGTCGGGGCCTGGGAGGTGGCTCAGTGGAATAAGCGCTTCCCTGGCAAGCGCAGGGGCCTGAGTTCATCTCCCGTTCCCCTCAAAAACAAACAAACAAAAACTGTGGTGGCCTACTAGGAGTTTGCCGCCAGATCTTGCTCTTTTTAGATAGTTTTGACTACTGCCTCCCTCCCTCCCTCCCTCGCTTGTCTCTCCTTCCATCCCTTGTCCCTCCTCTCACTCTCTTCCTTCTCAGGGCCTCACACATGCTAAGTACACACTATTAACTGAGCCATACTGCCATCCCTGTCTTTTAACCTTTTCTACGTTGTCCTGACTATATAGTCCCTTCTTCTCTCTGGCTTTACTCTATCTAGTTTCATTTACCCATACTCAAATGTAGTCTGAAAATATTAAATGGAAGATTCCAGAAATAAACAATTTATAACTTTGGAATTGCATGTCATTCTGAGTATCAAATGAAGTCTTGTACAGTCCTGCTGCATTCTGTCTGGTGTGTCAATTATTTCTTTACCTAGCATAGCCACTCTGTATATACTGCCCACCCTATTAGTTGCTCAGTAGCCATCAGGTTGTTCAGGTTACCCTTCTATTACTTGATAATAGCCACAAAGTACAGAGTAGTAATGCTGACATTTCAGTTAGGCCAAAGAGAAACTTCAAGGCTGGCCAGCTAGCCAGTCCATCTGTTGTTTGGTTGGTCTGTCTGTCTCTCTCTCCTTTCTTCCCTTGTCTTCTCCTTGTCCTCCTCTCCCCTTCCCTCCTTTCCCCTTCTTTCATCTGTCCAAACACATGTACAGTGTACAGTATTGCTTTGTATGTTTTTAAAAATTTTCCCTCAGAGCCAAACTTACTATTTAAAACTTTTTCTGTTTATCAGTCTTTTTCTGTCCTCTGAGCTTAATTTTTAGCTTGTTTATTCTCTTGGTTCTGGATGAGAGAGAATTCCCTTCTAGAGTGAGGCTTCCCACACTACCCTTTCTGGAATAATTGTACAAAACAAAGACAAGATTTTCTTAGACCTTCTATACATAGCTTAAATTACTGATAACATAATTTACACAAATTATCTGTTTAAAAATATATATTTTTGTATATCCCCTTCCCCTGCAGAGGTCACCACTCTCTTGAATTTTTCATTAATAATTATATTAAAATTTTAAAAATATTATATTAGGAATTACTAAAAATATATTGTTGTATTTTATCTTTTTGAACATTTTTGTAAATTAAATTATTTTAAACTAAGTATTATTACTTTTCTTAACATAGTTTTTGAAATTTATCCTTGTTGAAAAAGAAAATTTTCTTGGGGGCCAGAGAGATAGCTCAGTGGTCTAAAGTGCCTCCATAGACAAGCTTAGGCAAAGTACAAGGACCATAGTTTGATCCCTGGCACCACATGCTATGCCAGCCCTGCCCCCAGGGCAGGCTGAGCCCCCACCAAAAAAGAAAATTTTCTTAATCTTTGTGATATCTTGATTTTTTCTTTTGTATTCCACTTCATGTCTTTAAGTGCTTTTTTTCTTCTGTTGATTGTACAGTAGATAATAATTCATAGTTTTAGAAACATTAATTTAGTATATGTACTCAGAAGTAGAATTGTTACCAGTTTGTGAGTCCTGGGGCGAATTCTTGCCAGGTTTTGCCAAAACAAAAAATTGGACAAGACATGTAGAAAAGGGTGTGGGATGGATGTATATGGAAGATGGAAAAGAGGTAGATTCTGCAGAGTAGAATGAAACAGTGAAAAGGCTCATAGGGCCTGGAGGATAATAGAGGGTAGTCTTTTATATGTAGAATTTCTAGATTGGCTTCTCCCTTATGCAAATAAGTCATTTAAAACAGTTGTCCTATCAAAAGCTCAGTTGGCCTGGCACCAGGTGGAAACTGTTCTATCAAAGGTTCACTTGGTTTCACATCAAATGCAAATTTAGAATTGAAAGTAGTACTTTTCTGATTGGTTCCTCATACAGTGTTCAGGAATTGCGGAGTCATCTTGTATTCTGTGTTTTGTTCATGTCCCCTGGATCTTACGACTTTGACGGATTATATCCACTTAGTTGGCGGGTTTACCCCCAAGCCCAGTCTCCTACCTCACTGTTGTTATATATTTTTACCTTGAAAGACATTGCCAAATTATTCTCCTTTAAATTGATTATAACATGCATGCTTACAATTCTAACACTTGGAAGGCTGGGGGAGGAAGATCACTGTGAGTTCAAGGCCAGCCTGGGCTACATAGTGAGTTCGAGGCCAACCTGAACTAGAAGGCACGCTTTTTTTTTTTTTTTCCAATCATTAATGAAAAATTTTTGGATATACATAATTTCAGACTTGTTGAAAGTTGAAAGAAGCTATAAGGAATTCCTAGATATCCTTCACTCAGATTATTCAAATAGTAATATTTTACTAATTTATGTTCTATTTACACACATACATACACAAAGCTTTTTTTTGAACCATGTAAGAGTAGTTGCATATAGCCAGGTAGGCATGGTGGGGCACACCTATAATTACAGTACTTAGGAAGCTGAGGCAGGAGGATCACTGTAAGTTTACAGCCAGCCTAGGCTACCATAGTGAGTTCAAGGCTACAGTAAGTTCATAGTGAATTCACAGTGCATTCAAGGTCAGTTTGAACCCAATAGAAAGATCCTGCCTTAAAATGAACCAACATAGCAGCACTATTAACAGCAACAAGGTAAGAACAGCTCATAATGTTCATTAACAGATAATGGTGAATAAAATGTGGACTATTCAAACAATGGAATATGACTTAGAAGGAATGAAGATGAGCCAACCTTTCAGATAAACCTCAGAACATCATTTCAGGTGAAAGTTGGCCACTGTGCTGCACGTCTGCAGTTGCAGCTATTCGGGAACCTAAGGCAGGAAGGTTTAAGTGTTAGGTTCAAGGCTAGCCTAGGTAGCAAAACAACAAAAGTGTTGTTTTGTTTTAGAGCATCAGACCAAATGAAAGAAGGCCATATATTGTATGTTGCAAAATTCTATTTAAATGAAATATCCAAAATAGTTTAGTGGTCACCAGAGTTTGAGGCAAGAAGAGAAAAGGGAGTACTGCTTAATGAGCTACAGGGTCTCTTTGAGAGCAGTAAAAATGTTTTGAGACTAGGCAGAGGTAATGCCTAAACAACACTGTAATGTACTACATGCCCCATGAATTGTACACTTTGAAACAGTACTGTATTACATGAATTTCACCTCAGTTTAAAAACTTAACTAGTCATGCTGCTAAATACGTCTGCTCTTAAATTCTTTAGTTTGTATATCCTGTGATCTAGGATTTTTCTTATGTAACCATAATAAGATTATCAAAAGCAAAAAACTGAACATAGAAAATGGTTCTGTAACCTTTTACCCTTATCTGTGAGTTGTCTCAGTGATACCTGTTGGAGAAAACAGAAGCTCTAAGATAATATTTTGAATTTAGTTCTCATATCTCTTTTATTTTCTTTAATCAAAACCAGTTACTAAGTTTTTTAAGTATTTCACAATATTGGTAGTTTTGTCGAATACAGACCAGTAATTTTATGTGGTCAGTTTGAGTTTCTTTGAGGTTTCCTCATGGTTAGATTTAGATTATGCACACTTGGCAGGAACGCCCCTGAAATGTTGCTGAGTTAGAAGGCAGAATTTTTTTAAAAATTAATTTTATTGAGAAACAAATAGCAATGAGACAATTTCAAAACCAATTAGGACAGTTTCAATAAGTAATACATTACATATTGTTGTCTTCATAGTGGTTATTCATAGTCCAAGATGCAGACATCGCATACTGCAGAAAAGTATAAAAATGAGGTATAAAAAGTAAAGCCATATTAACATGCTGAGCTGTAAAAGACTCAAGTCGGGGCCGGGGAGATGGCTTAGTAGAATAAGTGCTTGCCTGGCAAGCGCAAGGGCCTGAGTTCAATCCCTGGATCTGCCAAAAAAAATTAAATAA